TATTGAATTTTTTTAAATAAAAAAGAAAGCAAAATTATTTGCATGCAAGAATTTGAAATCATTTTATTGCAAACTCAAAGTTTATCGATAAAGCCATTTATTAAAATTAAAGAATAAAGGCAGTTCAGTTTTATAAAGAACACTTTAAAGACTTTAAAACGTTTTGCGAAGCGTTTGTAGTTGAATTTTACATTAAACTGAAGCTTATATTACGTATAATATCATACCTAACATATATATGTTGGGAAATTGATAATTTTGTAATTAAATGTGATATTTTTAAGCGATTTTCATTTGTAAGAATATTCTTAAGAAATTATAGTGTTACCATGACAACTACTTTAGATACTTCATGTTCGGAAAATACAATGGTTTTGTCAGCAAGGGCGAGGGTTTCTGCATGCATCAGAGGAGGTTGGACAGGGGGGTCACGTGACACGCAGTCATTTTATACTTGTTTTCAATCGGTGTTCATTCGTGATTTGACCTCTGTCGTTTAAAGAGTTCCGGCTATTATAAAAAATATCAAATATGGATGCTTTCGACGTACAACCATGCCAAGCGGCCGTATTTGCTGAGCAGAGCGCAGTGTACATACATTGTTGTGAGGTTTATTACGAAGTATCTTTTACAGTGGCAAGTTTACAATGTTTAAGGTTAAATGCAGTGTTTTTGCACATCAGTTTTCTCGAATCCCCATCAGTGCGAAGAATGTGCGTTATCCCGAGGAGTGATTCAATTCTCGAGAAACTTGCTGGCCTAAATTCGCCTTGTATTGCCCATGTGAAATCCAGTGTAGTAGTAAAGGTTGGTATACAACTTTATTTAAATGTGTTTAAAATCCTGTTATTTGATTATGCATGCACGTACAGGATTTATACAAGTCCTTAGCCAAGTCTCAAACATGTCGTTTAATTTATAATAGTTGGATCCCATATAGCAATAACTCCAGCTACATCAACAGATGTTGAGGAATATTCTCAGGCACCTTTGCTCAACATCAATGCTGAATCTCTTCACTGCAATTGTTCAAATTTTCCAAATGCAGTTTCTGAAGATGACAGCCCTCGCCATTCAACTCCTGACAGTGCTGAGCCTGAGGAAGCCAGCTTTGAGAGGGACATAAACAATGCAGGTATTTTTATAATACATACGTCCAAATACACATTCGTGTTGGTTAAAAGCTCTCAAATTCATGATTTATTCACCATTTCCAATAGAAATCTAGAGTTTATATGAAAGGGCAAT